ATTTAAAGGCTAATTATAAACTCCATTCCCTGACACTTCATGTCTGAAAAGTTCTCCCCATGGACATTTTTATAGTCTCCTGTTTCCTGCCACAATATTTTGAGAGAAGATGAAACTCAGGGGTAGCCTCATGAGAAAGGTTGCCAAAATGATGTGACTATTCCCACAGTGCACTTGACCACTAAGCAAACTACTCATTTCAGAAAAACATACAGAGCAACTAGACTTTATGGAAACAGCTCAAGGACATGAACTCTGCTGTCCTCTCTTAGTGCCTAAAATAGAGCTTGCTTCCAAGCAGGTGCTTGATAAATTTATTGAATGAATGAGTGAATGGCAGTAATAGGTCATTGTGGGCCCACAAAGTGCAAGAAGCTAAGTCATCCCCAATCTTGGAATAGAACATGGAAACAGTTACAGTGCTTGGACCACACTTAAGGCATTTCAGAGGTGATTTTTAAAATAGGAGCAAATGAAAACAAAATAAAACAAAAACTAAAAATCACTTCCTTAAAGTTATAACAAAATTGGGGTTTCTAAAATTTTCTCCATCTAAACAACTTCCTAAAACCACTGATTGAGAAATCTTTAGCCACATGAAGGAAAATTTGCAAAATAATAATAATACATACATTGAATGGTAGTAAGAAACAAGGACACAGATTTTTGTCTACTCTTGAGCCCAAACTCTGACTTCCCTCTCCTACCCCTTCCCCTTCTTCTTTTTTTAAAGTAGGCTCCACACCCAGTGCAGAGCCCAACAGGGCTTGAACTCATGACCTTGAGAACAAGACCTGAACTGAGATCAAGATTTGGATCCTTAACAGACTAAGGCATCCAGGCATCCCCCCCAAATTCTCACTTCTTATTAGCTGTATAGCCTTGGGAAAGCCCCTAGCTTATTTAAATGTCAGCATCTCCATTGGTAAAATTGAATATTTAATTAACTATTAACTATTAATTATTATATTAATAATATTAACTATTATCACAAGAATTAAAGATTAACAGTGGCACTTAACAGGCTCAATAGATGTGAGTCCCCTCCCTCACCTCTCTCCCTTTCCCTCCCTGCTCTTTCCTTCCCTGTCACCCATCTAATCTAAACCATAAAGGTAGGTGAGATCATGTAATTAATTTTTAAATGTTCTTATTCCTCCTGTTCAGAGACTTTTTAAAACATGAGTTGGAGGAGCTTTAAGTTTTCCACTCACTTTTTTTCTTAGTGTCAGAACTAAGACATTATATTCTATTATATAACAAGAACAGAGAAGCTAAGGGCTAGAACATAGAAATAATTGTAACAAGACAGGCAATAGAATAAAAAAGAAAGCCGTGGCTATTTTTCTGTTGTTATCTCTAAAAGTGGTTGAAGAGATACAATGGGAGAGGAGGAGGTGGCCTGTGCTTCTGAAGTTACTGCTGTCTTAGAAGCTTTTACAGGGACATCTGTTGACTTTTTAACAAAGGAAGCTAAAGGGGATCAAGGGGGAGCGAAGGAGACTGTGGTTCACAAAGAAGCCACATCTGTTTGGTATTCTCCCAACTGAGAAAGCTCGACTTCGAAATAGTATGGGTATCCTAGTTCAACTAGGATCCAGGAACAGATGAAAGCTTTTCTTTCCCCCATGTTTCAATGGTACAGATCAACAGCTGTTTATATCCTTTAATACCTAACTGAGGGTGAAGCCTTCACATCTGTCAGTATTTTCCGGTCCTATTTCCTTGGATCACAGTAGGGAGGAGGTGAAGTTTGAACCCCTCCCAATTCCCAGGCAAGAACACAGAAATATGCCTGGGATTCAAAGCTGTAATGCTAAGCAGAACTCCCCATTTCTCATCTACCCAGGTCTGCTGTTTGCAGAGAATTCTTCTTTTACTTTATCCTGACAGACATCTTGATCATTTCCATGATAATGACTCACTGGCAGTACAAAGATCAAAAAGAAAAGTGGGCTGGAATCAGGGGGAGGAAGAAGAGGAGGAAATGAATTCGAACAGAGAAAGTGGCTCCTAGAGATAATTTTTTTTCAAAAGACAGCAATAATATTATGCAAGGGCAAATAACAGAGGTGAGCAGATGCTGATGAAGACCTTCAGGGTAATGGTTTATGGTGGTGGTTTTTACTGACCCCTAACATTTCACCTTGGAAAAATTAGAGATAATTAAACTCTATGAAGGCATGGAGCAGGATATACGGAGGATGGTGATAAAGGGTTTCAGAGGCATCTGTTTAACTTCTGATCCCAAGCACTACAGACATGTTGGGTCTTTGTAAAGATCATTTTTCCTCCATCCTTCCATCCATTTGACCACCCATTGATCCATTCCACAACTTATAAGGCACTAAGACAGGACTTTGGGATGGAATATTCAAGTGAATAAAACATATTCCATAATTTTAAGGAGTTTACATTCTAATGGGTGAAAACCTTCGCAGAGGCATGAGAATTCACAAGTTAATGAAAATGGCAGATGCCAGAAGGAGAAAACAAGATGGATAAAACCAGAGAGGTAAGAAATAGGCTGTTTCGGGGGGGCGGGGAATGAAGAGCATTCTGGGTAGTTAAACAGAGGAGTGGTGGGTGCTTACTAAAAGTGCAGATTCGTAGGTCCCATCTAAGAATTCTAATTTACTTGTTAAGAGGGAAGGACAAAGGGGCGCCTGGGTGGCTCAGTTGGTTAGCATCTGACTTCAGCTCAGGTCATGATGTCATGGTTTGTGGGTTCGAGCCCTGCGTCGGGCTCTGTGCTGACAGGCAGCTCAGAGCCTGGAGCCTGTTTCAGATTCTGTGTCTCCCTCTCTCTCTGACCTTCCCCTGCTCATGCTGTCTCTCTCTCTCTCAGAAATAAATACAACATTTAAAAAAATAAAGAAATAAAAAGGAGCAAACATTAAAAAAATAAAAGAAGAATGAAGGACAAAGAATATGCATTTTGAACAGAAGGCCCAAATAATTCTGATATAAATGTTTGACCACTCTAACTTATATAGATAAACATTTCTCAAAAGATGCTAATGGTGTTCTATAAAGAAAATACACATTCAAATTAGGAAATACTACATACTAAAGTATTCCTTTCTTGGAGAATTATAATACACATTAGCATATTAAAAGTCCTGCAGTAATGTAACTGGTTTCACTTGGCAGTTCCCAAACTTACTTTCCACAGGCAAAAAAAGAAAAAGAGAAAACCATGGCGCACCTATTAAGATCTTTTAGGATGCCAGCTTACTATGAGCAACAGAGGACTCTGATGAGGTGAGCATGGTCCACAAGCCCACTGAAAGGCTAACAAAATGTCTGGAAAAAGACAGCAAAGTCTATTACTCTAGGGGATATGGCGGCATCTGCTGATTTCCTCCAAGGAAAGTCTAAAGCCATCTATGATGTCCTAGTTTCCAAGCAGACTGCCAAAAGCTTCCTTACTCTCAAGTAACACACCATGGTTCTGTGATGTTATTTCTGGTCACCAACCCTATGTGGTAACCGCAGCTGCCAGGGACAACAGAAATGCCCAGAGTTCAAAGCATCAAGGAGTAGAAACAGAAGAGGAAAGACAAAGAGGAAGTATCATTGCCCAAATTTATTTATCTTTATTGCTATTACATGTTCTGCACAGAGAATTGGCTGTTGGAAAAATTCCTCCCAGCAGAAAAAGAAGCCTCTGCCAGTCAATGAAAGTACAAAAAACATGAACCTAAGAAATTCCCACCCCTTCCAAGGTGCCTATTTTATGGCCAGGGGAGTTTCTGAACCCTACCTTCTTCCTCCTGTGCTGGTGAGCCAAGGGAATTTGCACTACCACACACACCACCTCCTTCCCTAGCAAGGGACAGCACTGAGCAATAGCATGAGAGAGCTGGACAAGTCAAGGCAATACAGTAATTCTGAGTAAATTGGTGTGTGTGCTGAATATTTCAAGATGTACATATCACCCTAATCAATTTATACATTTCCCCCACCCCCAATATTAGCTTAATTACTTCCATACATCCCACCTCAACTTCCTATACGCCACATGGGGACACATACATCCCATCTAGAGGTGATCTCAACAATGTGCTCCAAATGCTTCTTTTATATCCCAACCGTCTCAGCTTTTTAATACTACTGTCTAATAGCACAAGTATTTCTCAATCATTCAACAAATATTTCCTGAGTGCCTACAAAGTTCCAGGGCACCATGCTAGACACGGGAGACATGAGTGGAAGTAGGAGATTGCTCATTCCTATTGAATCTGATGCCTAAAAAAACCTCTGAATTTTAAATTCAGTCTGTCAGTGCATGACAAATCCAATTATCAGCAGCATAAAGAAATATAAAAGGAAGATAAGGTTTGGTCCTTCCCCTTGAAGAGTTTATAGCTCAGAGCACCACGCAAATGAAAGCCTTTGCGTGGTGCATTTCAAGTGTTCTAGTGGGTTTCGCAGCTACACAAGGGTCCAGAGTTAACCGTACAACATGGAATTAATAACAAATGATCAGAAGTGGGAAAACAGATGCCAGGATCTTTATTTCCCCAGGATGCCAACCCCTGTTTGCTTGATCCCCAAACATATCCATGCAGTCTCACACTGGGATTCCTTAACCTGAGAGATGAATACCAATAAATGGACTAGAGTTAATGTGACTTTAACTACGTAATTAGCCAAAAAATGAAAATTCTACCTGGCTACCTTGGTGGCCTTGGAATGTAGTCCTAAAGAAACCAGCAAGATCAAATCTAACATCTCAGCAAGGCAGTGTTGCCTAGCATGTGGTATGTGTACCACTGAGGTCCACAAAATAATTGTAAGTAGTCCACAAATGATTTTTTTTTAATTTCAAGGAGGGTCTTAGATATGAAAAAAGACACTGCAGGTATGATGGACATTAGGGAAACATTGATACGATGCCACCCAGCATTCAAGGACAGTCCTAGAAGAAGCCTCTGTAAACTTTCTGAGCTTGGGTGGGATGCACCAAATAAGCAAGAAGCTGGTCATGGACTTACCCACACATGTTGGAAATATGTCCTCATTGTTGATCTGGACCTCGATCCAATCCATAAGGAGGTTCATGTACTGGGGAGCTGGTAGGGCAGTTGGCTTCTTGTACTTGAGGTCATCCTGCCACCGATACTCATATTTGGGGCCCCCTGACATCACAGGGCAGGTCTGCTCGGTACAGAACTCACAGATGGTGCCGTAGATGAGGTTGATCCTATTGAAGAAGTCTACGACGTGCACTGCCACCCAGTCGTTCTGGTCCTCCCCACTGGGCAGCTGCACAGCCGCCTTCAGGTCCACACCTGAGTTGAGGGACGCCTGAGCCCGTTTGTGGAGCTCAAACCTCTGTGTGCCAGGTTCAAATTTCCTCTTGGGCCGGAAGGTCTTGTCCTTGTTGAACACCTGCTTCAAGGCTATGGACATGGTCTTTTCCTTCTCTTCTTTTCTTTTGCAGGAAGCAAAAAGGCACGTAGAACTTTTCAGAGAGAGGTCACAACCCAGTAGGGTTTTCCACTGCCAGCCCTCTGGCCCCAGTCTTGCGGTCTGCAGCTTTTAATCTCTTTTAAGCGGCCCCTTCCATCTTCCTCTTGAATAGTCTCCAAGAGAACCTCATGTTTCTTCCTAAGGGCTGAAGGGAAAAGAGTCTTATTAGTACCCAGTTTTCATTTAAAAGAAATGCCAAATGCTTAGATCTGATTTCCACCTTGCTTCTGGCAGCACCTACTTCCATCCAAGTATAAGGATATTGAGGGTATTCCAAACCCCCAAGGATCTGTAATGGTGACTCAAATCACACAAATAACTCTTTTTCTTCATGGCCTTGGTCAAATCTCTGTCAACTCCTCCCTGCATGGTCATAGGTTAATGAACTCTCCAAGGTGTTAACATGAACATGTTAGTCAATTCCCCTTCCCCATGCCATATATGCTACTTTTTAGAACATCTGCCCTACTCGCACTGCCTTTGTTGAGTAAGCAGGGAATCACTACCCCATCCTCCTAAATACAGCTGATTGCATCAGGGGTGGCTATCACATTAAGCTGGCTAATATCTCTCCTGGGTATTTGGGACCAGGACCCAGCCTTTGTCAGGCATTGTCCCTGAGAAACAATGAAAACGGCCTGGCTGAGTCCTATGTAGACCACATGCAGTGTAGTTAAGAAAGCTGGTCTGCAGAGAGGGGAGGAGGGGAGAGAGAAGAATGAAGAAGGAAGGAGAATAAGGAAGAGGGGGGAAGAAGAGGAGAAAGAAGAGGAGGAGGAGGAAAAGAAGGAAAAAGTCATCAACACAGAGAAAAAGAAACAACAGCACAAGTGGCTAAAGGGAGAGGAAGACAAGAGAAAAAGAGAAAGAGTGAGGAGAGTGGCTTCTTGAGTTCCTGATAAGCTTCTAGGAATTGGTTCTAGTTATTTTTGAAGCCTAGCTGTGATTCCAGCTGTTGCGATCCATATGTTTTCCTTGAATTTGCTGAAAAAAATCCCTTGTTTTACTTTAACTAACTTGAGTGGGTTTTGCCTCTTTCCAAGAATCCTCAACTATGACAGCATTTATCACCCCTCTAATATCTTTGGTATCACACCCTAGAATTCTGATGCAGAAGTGCATAATAAAACTTTCTGTGATAATGCAAATGTTCTATATCTTTGTTGTCCAATATAGTACCCACTAGCCATGTGTGGCTATTGAGCACTTGAAATTTGGCTAGTGTGACTGAGGCATGGAATTCTTCATTTTATTGAATTTTAATTAATTGAAATTTAAATAGTCACTTGCAGTGAGTGGCTATCATTTTGGAAAGTGCAGCTTTGGTTTTCAGTGCTCTCCTCTTTATTATCTCATTTGACCCTTACAAAATTCTGGTGTGGTTTATAGTAGATGTGTAGTAGCTATTATCCCTGGGTCTCTAAGAGATAAAATTACTTGCCTAACAACATCCCATAGCTAGTTCAGGCATAGGTTGGATTGAAATCCAGTTTCCTGACTCCTAGCAGAGGCTCTACCCACATAACCTTCTATTCTAAAAAGTGATGCCCTTCAACCTGTTTTTCCTGCTGGTTCACGAAGCCTCTATACCTAAGTCTTCCATCCACATATTCCCCAAAGACCACAAGTATAGACTGGCTGGAGGTAAAGATTATGTCTTGTGATTTGGAAACAGAAAGGAGATAAATGATCCATTCATGGGTTAAGTCCTAGCAAAATGGGCCAACAGCTGTGGCCAGATTCAGAAGAGCCCATCATGGAATCTGTGAAAATGAACTTGGGAGCATGATCCCAGTGAACTGGACTTTCCCTACTTAGATGGAATTTTGCTCTTCCACACTCAAGCATGGCTTAGTGATGCATTCAACCTAAAGTTATTCAGGCAAAAACACGAAAACAAGAACACCTGAGACACTGGTAGTCCCTCTCACAGACTGCTCTTGGCGCAAAACTGCTGATCATTCAGGGGATGCCTCCTCGGGCCACTCTGCAGCTCTGTCTGCTCACTTCCTCCCTCTCGATCTCACCCTCTCCTTATTACATTTTCAGTGAAACGACACTTGGGCGAGGTGTCTTTCCCCGCCTCTTCACATGGCACTGAGCACATCCTCCCCACCCCCCCACAAAGATATCCATGTTCAAAAGCTGGTCCTGTGGCACTCTCTGACTGAGACCATCAGAGACACTCCCGAGTGCTTCAAAATATCACCAGAAAGGAGATCACCACACAAACTCTGCAACCCTAGGGAGAGAAAGGGGCAATCTCTCCCTGAAAAAAATACCTTCCCAAAGGCTGGCTCTCCCTGGAAAGAGGTGTGAGAAAACTGAGGGCGCTAAGAGTGTTTTTCCAAAATAAAAATATGAACTGGAAGTTGGGAAGATGGAGAAAGGATGGTGCAGTTGTTTTTTTCTCTTTTAAAATAGACAGTAGTCTACCGTATCACAAATGCTTAGGTGCTGACAGGAAAGCAGCAACCATCCATCAGCTACCTCCTCATGTCTCCAGCAAATAAGACTTGCTGTTCTGCTGTTGTGTTGATGAGGGTGCTGTCAGTTACCATGGTCCTCAGAACAGTCTTCTTTCGTCATCTTACATGACCCTCAGTATCAGTTTGGCTATCTCCCTGAGGCCTGGAGTATCTGCTTGCATGGACACCAGTGGGAAATCTTACCACGTACTGCCACCAGATTCCCGTGCACACCATCAGAAGATGCCACCAGGTTCCCATGCACACCATCAGAAGAGCCTCCGGCACTTCTGATGAGAGTGTGTGAATGAGACAGGATAATCATAGCAAATCCTCATCACAAAACCCTGCAGTATGGCTGGTGCTCATAAATATTTCAGTAAATATTAAAACCTCATATGAAGTTTGAGGATTTTTCTTCCAGAGATACTTAGATAATGAACTTTTAAGACATCAGTCTCTTGAACCACGTGGGCATTTATTCAGAACTTCAACCAGCTTTAAAGTCACTTTTTCTTTTTGGTGCACCCGGGTGGCTCAGTCGGTTAAGTGTCCAACTTCGGCTCAGGTCATGATCTCACAGTTCGTGGGTTCAAGCCCCGTGTTGGGCTCTGTGCTGACAGCCAGCTCAGAGCCTGGAGCCTGTTTCAGATTCTGTGTCTCCCTCTCTCTGACCCTCCCCTGTTCACACTGTCTCTTTCTCTCTCAGAAATAAATAAAAAACATTAAAAAATTAAAAAAATAGTCACTCTTTCTTTTTGCCTCAATGTAAAAGGCTGACTAAAGGGGGGGGAAATCATCTTTGGAGGATTATTTCTCATCCAAGTCCCTTAATGTGCCACTACTGGTTACCATTTATTAAACTCTACTATGTACCAGATACTTTACACATATCATTAACATTTTATTTTTTATTTTTTTAATGTTTATTTTATTTTTGAGAGAGAGAGCGAGAGAGAGCACATATAAGTCAGTGGAGGGGCAGAGAGAGAGAATCCCAAATAGGCTCTGTGTTGTCAGTACAGAGACTGGTGTGGGGCTTGAACCCATGAACCGTGAGCTCATGACCTGAGCCGAAGTCAAGAGCCAGAGGCTCAAGTGACCAAGCCACACAGGTGTCCCAATTATTAACATTTTAATCCTCACTACAGTATTATATGGTGGATGTATTTATGACCACTTAAGAGAAAAAGAAATTGAGGCTCAACTAGATGAAGTAATTTGTCAGAAATCACAAAATTACTAGATAGTAAAGTTAAGTTTTGAACCCAGAACTCCCTGGCACTAAAACATAGATGACTTATTTTTCTCACTAAAGCTGTTTTGAAATCTCATGAACACTTTTATGTTTTCAAAGCTCCTTCACGTAGATTCAAAGCTCCTCACAACAAGACTAAAGGAAGCTAGAACAGATGGTATTTTTATCTCCAATTTACAGATAAGGAAACACAAACTATGATCTCCTCCAATGCTCATTCCAAATGTGTTAAACATTCTGACATGATCCAACATTATGATGTCTCTTTTGCTCAAACTTTTTCATCTAGAATGAAGCTCCCTGGAGATGGGAAGAGTTGATGGGCAAGTCCCCATGTTTAAAGATACTGGCCATCCAGGATGGGCAATAACAATTTCATCATTTAACTGAGCTGAACAGAGGCATCTGTGTCTTTGAGTGTCAATGTCAAATATTTTGTGGCAGATACCCAGAAGAGTATGAAATGAAAATGGGAACAGGAAATCCACCTGGCCTTACTTTCCAGCCCAAAGCCCCCATCAGGACCCCTGTCCATAATTTACATGGACTTATTAAAAGGTTGGTGCAGTGCTTCTCAAACATTAAGGTGTGATCGTGTTAAAATGCAGGTTCAGATGCAGTAGGTCTGGGGTGATGAATACACATCTGCATTTCTAACAAGCTCCCTGGTGATGCAAAATCTACTGCCCAGAGCTGATACCTTACCTCACTATGACAGCTTGCTAGAAATGTAGGTGCTTGGGGCGCCTGGGTGGCTTAGTCGGTTAAGCGTCCGACTTTCGCTTAGGTCATGATCTCACGGTTCGTGGGTTCGAGCCCCGCGTCGGGCTCTGTGCCGACTGCCAGCTCAGAGCCTGGAGCCTGTTTCAGTCTGTGACTCCCTCTCTCTCTGACCCTCCCCCGCTCACACTGTCTCTCTCTCTCTCTCTCTCTCCTAGAAATAAATAAAACATTAAAAAAAAATTAAAAAAAAAAAGAAATGTAGGTGCTCAGGCCTCTAAATTTGCATGTGAAAAAAAAATTTTTTTAATGTTTTATTTATTTCTAGGAGAGAGAGAGAGACACAGCGTGAGCAGGGGAGGGTCAGAGAGAGAGGGAGTCACAGACTGAAACAGGCTCCAGGCTCTGAGCTGGCAGTCAGCACAGAGCCCGACGCGGGGCCCGAACCCACGAACCACGAGATCATGACCTAAGTGAAAGTCGGCGCTTAACCGACTAAGCCACTCAGGCGCCCCATGTGAAAAAAACATTTTTAATGTTTACTTATTTTTAAGAGAGAGAGAGAGAGAGAGACATAATGTGAACAGGGGAAGGGCAGAGAGAGGGAGACACAGAATCTGAAGCAGGCTCCAGGCTCTGAGCTGTCAGCAAAGAGCCTGACATGGGTCTTGAACCCATGAACCAGGAGATCATGAT